ACTACTACTTCTTCTTACATACACTATATTCTCAGCCATAGACTTCACAAATTACTTCTCCCTTAAGAAGATGTCGATTTTCTTATTACAAGCTCTTAGAGCTTGCTTAATCCATACAGGGCTTTATGGATCATGTACACATTTCTTTCTTCGCCTTGTTTCACATACCCAGATGGTTGTGCAACATAAACTTCTTCACTTAAGTGGCCATTAAGAAATGCACACTTCACGTCCATCTGACATGTGTGCCAATTGTTCATATTTGCTACACCAACAACTAACCTGATTGTTTCGATCCTAGCAACAAGAGAAAATATTCGTCGAAGTCTATTTGTTGTTTATGAATAAATCCTTCCACTACAAGTCTCACCTTGTGTCGAGTTACCTATCATTAGGATTCACATTCACCTTGTAAACCCATTTCACATCAATTTCCTTTTTGCCTTGAATAAATTCGACAAGTGACCAAGTCTTGTTGACTTTGATGGACTCTAAATCCTTATTCACAGCTTTCACCCACTTTGAATCCTTCAATGCCTCAGTTGCATTGACTGGTTCAACATCTGTATAGAAAGCATAGTGTACCAGCTCACCTTCTTCGTCGACCATATCATCTGATGTAATCACACATTCTTGTAACCTTGCAGGTATGTGTCTTGTTAGTTGAGGTTTGCTTGGGCTTTCTTCACCACCGGCTTCTTCTTGTCGAACTTCTCTTTCGACTTCAGTGGCTCGTTCTTCACAAGATACTCTCACTGAAACCTTCTTAACATTATCATTCTAATACAATTCTTTAACTTCATCTAGGATCATGTCACTGCTGATCACTACCTGCTTATTCACTGGGTTGAACAATTTGTAACCTCCAGTTGAATGATATCCTATCAAGATCATCTTATTCGACTTGTCATCAAGCGTCCTTCTCAACTGATCTGGAACATGTCTATGTGCTATAGACCCAAACAACTTTAAGTGATTGAGGCTAGGCTTGACACCAGACCAACATTCTTCTGGTGTGATTCCTTCAAGCTTCTTTGTCGGACATCTGTTTAATATGTATGTAGTTGTCGAAACCGCTTCTCCCCATAATTTTTTGGGTTGATGTTTTCCATTCAACATACTTCTCTCCATGTTCATGATGGTTATGTTCTTTCTTTCTGTAATTCCATTTTGATGTGAAGTGTAGGGTGGCACCACCTCATACACAATCTCTTCTTTTTCACATAATACATCGAACTCTTTCGACACATACTCTCCACCACCATCAATTTTCAAAATTTCCAACTTTCGACCACTATGTCTTTCGACCATATATTTGAATTTGATAAATACCTCGATCACATCACTTTTCTTCTTGATGAGGTAAATCCATAAATTTCGACTATAATTATCTATAAACTTGACAAAGCATATGTTTCCTGCAATGAATCCATCTGGATTGGACCACATACATCAGAGTATATAACTTCCTGAAATGCCTTCGACTTCCTTCCTACATCCTTGTAGAAACTATTCTTGTGTGGTTTCGACTGAACACACTCTTCACAGACTTCACTTGGAATGTCCATTTCAGATAATCCCGAAGCCAAATTTCTTCTCTTTAGCTATCTGATATCGTTGAAGTTGAGATCGCCTAGTCGAAAATGCCATAACCATTCATCTCTGCTGGCTGTAGCTTCTAGGCACTTGTGCTCCATCATATTGAGTTCAATCTTGAAGGTCCTATTATGAGACATTGGAGCTTTCAAGATCAACCTACCACCTGCGCCGAGAACTCTCATCATCTTGTCTTCAATAGCTACCTTGTAGTTCTTTTTGACAAATTGTCCTATACTGAGCAGGTTACTTTTCATGCCTGGTATGTATAACACATCGAAAATTATTGATTTTTTGCCATCCTTCCTCACGATCTTAACATCACCAACACCTTCAGCTGCTAGAGTGTTGTCATTTACAAACTTCATCGTGTTCTTCAACGAGGGCTTCATGTTGACAAACAAATATTTCCTTCCAATCACGTGTAATGAGCATCTTGAGTCCAACTACCGCTGCTCCTAGAATCTCTCTTCGTCTCTTGTTTTGACCATTAGCAACATCTTTTTTTCTTCATGTTTCGCCAGATTTGCACCAGTTTCCTGATTCTTCTTCTTTTCTGGAAAATCACTAAAATAGTTACCATACTTCTGACAATTGAAACACTAAATGTGACTTTTTTCAGGCTTCCGACCACCGCCTTTTTCTTTACCTGCAACACCACCTCTTTGGTTGCCTTGGTTATAGGGTTTTATTTGATTCGACCAGTTTTCTTCATGCTGATTTCGACAAGTCGTATTGATATAGCCTCTTCTACCTTTGTTTCCATTCCAGCTTCTTTAGGTTTTCCTTTCTTTTTCTGACTGCACCTGTAAAGCCATATCACTATTCGACTTTTCTGCAGCTCTTTTAGCCATCCTTTGTTCATGAGACTCAAGCGTCTCTTGAATCTCTTCCTTCGTCAATACTGACAAGTCTTTCGACTCTTCTATGGCTACTACCATGTGGTCGAACTTTGGAGCCAATGACCTCAAGATCTTTGACACAACTGATCTTGATGTCAACACTTTTCCACATACCTTGATTTGATTCACCAGCTTTGTAACTCTGGTGAAGAAATCTTTTATACTTTCATTGTCTTCCATCTGAAGCAATTCATAAGTCCTCTTGTGAGTTTGTAACCTCACATTTTTCACCTTCTCTGTGCCTCCAAACAATTTTTCAAGAATCTCACAAGCTTCTTTTGTTGATTCTACATCACTAACTTTTTCAAAGTTATCTGGATCAACACATTGATGGATTATAAAGAGTTTTATAATCTTTTTTCTTCAATTCTTTATATGTTGTTTTCTCCTGATATGTCGAAGTTTCTGCAAGCGGTGATAATCCCTCCTTCACAAGATCCCAAAGATCTTGGTAATAGAAGACCACCTTAGTCTGCTTGCACCGATTCTCATAATTATCTTTCTTAAGAATTGGAAGATTTGCTGGAAAGTGACTGTTCGGGTTATTCATCACCATCACAGTTGTTCTTCCCTTGAATCACAACCGGAGTTCTAGATACCAGATGTTGGGATTTCAACCACGACCTATGGTGAATTCTTCTCAATCTTAATCTCAAGATTGTTATGTAGTGACAATGAACAAAAACAAGAACACTTTTAAAGAAGATGAATGTGAACTGCAGAGTAACTCTCTGCCCACAATTGTGGAATTTTATCATCACTTTGCAATTGTAAAACGGTGATTATCAAACTTGATTATTACAATGATAAAGGTTCCTCCCTATTTATAGATTTAGGTTAACTTGCATCTCAAGTTAAAGTTCAATCTATAAAAGACCAAAATATCTAATCTAGTATTTCTAAATCAAATCTGATCTTTCTAAATCAAATCAAATCTTTTTAAAACAATAAATTACATATTTAACAGGATGCACTTTAACCCACACATTTTATTCGTTTTTGAGTCGAATCTCAATTTTATGAATACATTTATTCCATAAATATATCTCCAAAAAAATACTAAATATATTTCCTAAAACAACAATTTTAACTTTCCAAAACTGCTAAATGCTCTCACTATCTGGGTACTACTATAAATAATAATAATAATAATAATAATAATAATAATAATAATAATAATAATAATAATAATAATAATAATAATAATAATAATAATTACTTCATGCATATTTTATTTTATTTTTTATTTTTTTATTGAGTTTAATATATTATTAGTTATAAATTAGTTTAAAATATTTTAAACTAGTTATCATAGAGAAAGAAAGAAATAAAAATAAAAAAAATAATTATGTTTACTTATTATATTGTATTAATATGTATAAAAAATAAAAATAAAAAAACAGTATGTAAAAATAAACAGGAGTCAGACACAAATAATTCTTCTAAAAAAATTATAGATATATATTTATAAAATATCTTTTTTATAAATATTGTCATTTTAATTATATTATTCAATTGATAATTCATGTATTATTTTAGAAATAATGTTTTTATTACAAATTTACGTGATTGAAATATATCAAAAATTAGAGTCAACTCCAAAACGAAAAAAAAATGTATGTATTAGAGCACGTTCGAAAATACATCTTCAAAAATTAGAGATAGTATTAGAATTTTTAAGAAATGCAAAAAGAAATCCTCTTAAATCTTTTCCAATTCTCCAAAACTAAAGTTACGCTCTGTTTGTACTATAATAATGGGCCCTTGCATGTGCTTTTGCCGGCCCTATTTTCTTCTTTCACATAATATGAAACTAATATCTAATATATATGAAACCAATACATTATTTGGTGTTTTACTTATTTATTTTGCCCATGTTATAAAAAACCTGTTTTTGCTTGGACCAAATTTACAGATTTATCTTCCTTCTCTCATTTTCTGTGTTCTCATTTAATTTCCTTCCTGAATAGCAAAATCTATAACAGTGTATAACAGTTATTGGACCCAGAGCTTGTCTTGTTGGTTTCTAAACCAATTATTGGTCATTCGAAGAAACCTACACCTTAAGACTATATAGGGGAATGGAGAAATGTCCCCCTTTAACTATGTTTTCTATCCAACAACACTATCATGCAGATGTTGATTTCAGGTGGAATCAATCAAGACAAAATTATATTGAAACAGTTAACAAAACACATGCTGTGAATGATTCTCAAAAAAGCTTTTCATCTGAGCCTCAACTTGTTTGCTAAATGCACACCAACAAATATGATTATAAATATATCTTACAACAAATGATACAGGATATCTAAGAAGCAATTGGAGAGAACATAGAATGAACATGCATAACTACAATGGAAAGAATTTGCTCCTTCTAAGTTAAAAAAATTGTGGATTATTCATGCAGTACGAAGCCAAAAGTGTTGTGCCACTACTCTCCTTACTTTTTCAAGTCTTCTTTTTGGTTTAGCTTTTTGGCAGGAAGTGAAGAAATGGTCTCACTCAAAGCAGAAGAAAAGAAGCTACAAACACAGCAAGACTGGACAAGAAGAAGCAAACAGAAACCTTAGGCTGTGCATTTTTGGGTGGTGACTTGGTTCCGGCAGCAGGGCTAGCAGCTGGGGCTATTTTAGCAACAGCAGGCAAAGGTGCCTCTACCACTTCAGATTTAGTCAAAGGAGGGAGTGGAGCCTGAGCTGGAGGCAATGTCCGATTGTCAAGGGTTTTATAAAGATCACCTGCTTTAACAGGTTGCATGTAGGGAGGTGTCTTATCACCCAAGTTTAAGCATTTGTTTTCTGCAAAAGAATAGAGAGCAATTATGTCAGTAATTGAGGAAGTAAAGTAATAGACTTTATTGTACATCAGAATTCTCTAGCACTTACTTGAATATCTACTAGCAGTTTTCGGGAAATCTGTGATGACCCCATTAATTCCTGCTTCCTGAATAAATGAGTTGATCTCCACTGTTGAATCTGAGAAGTAATCCCATGCCTGAGATACAAACTCATTGCTGAATGTTTCTACGAAAATTGAGAGGTTAGAAGCTTGTAGCTTTGGCACAATATTTGTAAAGGTGGTCAGGAAGCTAGCACTACGAGGAAATACAGAATCTTTATTGATAACCACAGAACTAGCAAATGTTTTTATATCTTCCACAGCTGCATTGGCAGCATCACTGACAGTCTCGTCAATCTTGTAGACAAGCTCATATTTGGTTTTCTCCTTGAACTTCAGTAATACAGAGCTATTAGTGGATTGAATATAAACTTTTTGGCTCCCTGGTTTATCATAACCTGCTTTGCTTAAAGCATCAATGACGGCATCAACCACACTTAATCCCAGCTTTTCTGCAAGATAGGCTGCATTCTGATAATAGAATAACACAACATAATGTTATTCGATAGAAAATTATACTATTTGAAACAAAACATGTATAGGCCTAGAGTATGCAACTATCGTTATAAAACAAACCAATGCCCAAATAGAAGCCAAACTGTTTTTCTTCGGTTGAAGTAATTCAGCAAGGAAGAGTAAATGAAGAAATATTAAAGGTGAAATTCAAAGGAATGTCATTTTCAGGCAGGTCAGTCCTTTTCCGTTTTCATTATCTCCTACTCACAAGTGTCTTAACAATGAAAAAACAATACACGATAGACTCAATATCCTTGATTAAACAAGGTGCAGGCCTTTCAAACAACAAGGTGAAACCAGGTAACTACCATGGAGTAAGCGACCCTAAACCATTTGCATACAAATTTGCATTAATCTTATCAATGTTGCGAGTTTGCATAACAGCTAAAAGAATGAATTCTATACAGGTATAGAAGTCATGATAGAACACACCTCAACAATGATCAAGACGCCTGATAGAGAAGTATGATTTTTTGTCAACGACAAAAAATCTGATAATGTTAAAAATGTCCCATCATTCTTATATTCTGGATTCCTGAACAGTGTGTATTTTGAGAAAGGGTTCAATATTGAGGCTGCAAGGTAAAAATGAAACAGAAAAATATGTCAATTACTCTTTTATAACACGGAATACATTTTATTTCTTCATTACAAATAAAATCAATAACAATAGCAGGTAGAAAAAGTGTAAGAAACTAAAGATAGGGGAGGGAAATGTTTTCCATGGAAAACTACTCGTTAATCTTAGATTATCCTATAAATTGACATTCTGAGCTAAGTTATTACTAAAACACAATTTTTAATGTGTATATCTATCTCATTGAGATTTTGGCTTATTTAAGTATCTGTCAATACACTTAGACAAGTCTGAGTTACCAGCAAGCAGATATGGAAATGCTGAAGAATATTCGACTGCTGAAAGAAAAAGAAAAAGAAACTACAGAACGTTTCTTTGACTTACGGGTCAGGCCTTTTATATCAGCCCATGTCAATTTGAACGTAAATATGCCACGGCCAGATTTGATCTTGGGGATACTCGTGACCAAATCACTGAAGCCTGTTTGAGCAACTGTGGTACTCTCTAGAAGATCAATGGAGCTTAAGCAGAATGGTATTCCGTCCTTTGAAATTTGAACAGGACAGTCAATAACGTCCGCACCATCTGATATGGCATTGTTATACGCTAAGTTGGTACAAGCTGGATAATCTCCACTTGCTCCAAATTTTGAGATAATCAAGGTTTTATCTGAAAATAATAAAAAGTAAAAGCAACAAGTCAACAATGATGAACACTGAGCAGCAATAGAATGATTGAAACCATGCAATGACACAATTAGAAATTATTGATGAACAAATTGAGAATACATATTCCGGATCAAAACAAAATGTACCTCTTCTCGTAGCATTTGTGCCTAGGTGGGCAAAGCAATCTGCAAAATGAGAAGAAAAACTCAACACATATTTAAATAAAGACAAGAATAGTACACACAAGAATACATATATGTTATATGAGGTTACGATTGTTAAGCACATTAAATACAACAACCAAGAGTAAGAAAATTGAACATTGTGATGAAATTTTTATGATAATTGCTCAAATTAAAGGGCATATAGCTATATCTCCAACCTGTCAAGAGAACGAGCGTAGCCTAAGCTAAATTCAGTTTAAGATGGAAGCAAAAATGCAGGACGTGGTGGCGGTTGGGCTAAGAGATTCTATTTTTAGTAACTTTGTGTGTACACCACCCGCACAAGGACAAGAAATCCAAAAAGGTCCAAATTGTCCACCAGTGTCCTATCATTGTGCAATTATTGAGCACACACATGGGAAAAACAACTATCTCCTTACCAAGATTGTAAAGTTAAACAAGATTATAGATATACCAATTAGAGACAGATGGCTAAAGTCCAGGATTATGTGTTATTTATCATGTTAATTCACTTGATAAATTCTTACTTTGAAGAGATTATGCAGAGAATGTATTTGGAGAGGAGGGGTTCATAGAAAAAATTTCCATTTAAAATTTATAACAGTATCAAAAAAATTATAAAAATAAATAATCAATGATTGGAAGCCCATATGTGATAATATTACTCCTCCCTCAAATAATTAAAATGTTGGCATATAAAGTATATTTTCCCTTCCCATTAAAACTTCTCCATCCAAACATGTTCTAACTGAATAAGATTTTGATTAAATCAAATGTGACAAAATGGAGGGGAAAAATAAATAACTTACCAATTGCTTCAGATGGAGTTATGGGAAAATCAGTCAGCACACCATCAACGGAGAAATCACCGTTATCAATGAATTGGAGGTACTCAGCAAGAGGATCATAGCTGTAATTAAAGCTAGTTACAATATCATTTGCAAAATCTGATGCATAAACTTCCAGCCCCGCTTTATGTGCATCTGAAACCAAAGTGGTATGTGGTTGCAAATAAAGACTAACAGCATCTATTGGCCATATATATCCCTTGGGAACAAGAATTCCAGAAGCAAAAGTCTTGATAAAGGTAAGGTTTTTTAGTAATGAACCATAAGTCAGATTGGTCGATGGGTCTGTGTCACTCTTATCGAGAAACCTGAAGACAAGTTTCGTTATTTTTGGGTTGAAGCGTGTTGTAATACTTCTCAAAAAACCAACCTCAGGTGATGAGATATAACTGACATGCACTTTTCTAGAAATGGAAAGTACATAGCTTCTCATGCTCAGTTTGTGTTGCGTGTAGAATGCATCATGCTGTAAAATATCAGAGAAATCAAGAGTTAGTTTTAGAGCAAAAAAGGAGGCTAAATCATGAGAATGGATTATACATTCAATTTACCTGAATATTCAACCACAAACCTGGTGTTTGTGGGGCCACTATTGGGAGTATATCTTCAACTCTATTTATTAAATAACCATTGTTTTCGGGCAGACTTGACCGAGAGAATACTCCCTGAGTTACTGTCCAGCAACAAAAATATGTTAGAATCAATATAAAAAGAAAAACTTCAAAATTCACAAAAAAGCCAATCAGAAAAAAAGACCTTAAACCATAAAACAAGTAAATGCCTTACAAAGGAATGAATCAGTCCATAAAATAATAATAATGTACAACAATGAAAATAGATCTTACAGATAACATCAGCTAACTCCTTGAAGGTATAATCCACGGAAAAATAGCCAGCAACGGATTCTCCATTCACTAAGTAACTTACAGTTTTATTTTGGAAAAAACTTGAAATATAAGTAGAGTTTTGAAGGTTGATATCTGGAAGGCAAAGCCCAACTTCATCTTTTGTCAATTGCACATCGCACCATATAGCGACATCGGGGACGCTCGTTTGTACAGCCAAAAGATAAGCGGCGTAACTGGAATCTGGATATATACCCGAAAAACCACCATGTGCTATGACCAATGGTGGACTTCCTGCAAAACAATCACATAAAGTCAGTCCCAATGCACCAACCATAGAGTGAAAGCTTCTCTTTTTGCAAAAAAAACTATATAAAATGAAAAATAGTGCATGAGTCATTCAATTCAAGTACATATTCTAAAATATATTCTAAAATGGAAAAGTATATGAATTTTTTTGAGATTTTATCAAGAATAATATTCAAGTCAAGCTAAGTTTCTAGCTACCTACCAAAAGTTTTGGCATAAAAAACTTCAAAGACAGAAACTAATTTCATCTTATATGAGAAACAAGTTTAATCATATCTATTATTAGAAGATTCTTTCAATTTAAGAAACTAACCAAAATTGACTTGAGATTGCTTTATCTAAAAATAGAAGAACAAGTTGAATCAACAAAAGAAACTATAAATTGTTTCATTTTCTACTAAGATTGTCATAAGCATAAAACTCTTGTTAGCTCAAATTACAAGAAATCAAAACCCTAATAAGTTAAAATTAAGGAATCGAAGTTTATAAACACAGATCCTCCAGCATATATACCTGTAAGTGTTTTCCATTCAGATCTCTTGTTCTGAGCTGAAACAAGAGATAGAGAAAGAGAGTGAAGAAGAAGTAGAGCGAGAGTAACGGAGAGAGCGCGTGGTTTCCACATTCCGGCGAGTATGGGTGTTTATGATGAAGTGATGAACTCAACTACCAGAGAGAAAGAGAGAGAAAGAGAGTTTGTGTTAATGAGCTCTTCAACTCAGAAGCACAACTTGTTTTTATTTTGGTTCTTTTCTTTGTTGCATTACTTTTAATTTATATCTTTTATTATAAGAGTTATTTGAGTTAACAAAAGTTGATATATTTGCTTTTACTTAAAATGCAAAAGCTGGATTGGGCTAAAGCCGCGGTGTTGCTGTTGACTGTTGTAAACGACACTGCGTGAGTGGGGGCCACAACATGGTTGTTACTCTCTGGCATGTTTCCACGTGGCGCATTATGATTCGTACCATATCTCATGTCTGAAAATGAACTAAACGACAGCGTTTCTAGTGGATTTCAATTTCCACAGCCCCACGTAGATAGATACAACGTGCGCATCTCATTGCGCTAACATAGTATGTGGTTGGTTCTCTCATTTCTTTATTTTGTATTTGACTAGTTCTTATGTGCTTCTCTTTCTCTATCACCATTTTATGATAACATACGACTCATTAAACAGACTGTGTTTTATTCCATATGGAGAATAATTGAATCATTTATGTCTTTATATCATAGACAAAGTCAAATTATTTAATTCTAATCCTTTTCCATTTTTCTCTTAATCAACTATTTCATAAACGCTCATTTTGGTTTCAAACTTGCACTACTTATACCAAAAAAGAAAAAGTCACACATAATACTAACTTTATTCTATCACAAAATAGTATATACTACTACAATTTTCTTGTGTTCTCATCACCTACACTTACACCGTATTTCACTTCAATAATACGGTAAACAGTAAAATATATAAATAAATAAAAAATTAATTTTTTAATTTTTAAATTAAATAATATTGATATAAAATTATGTGATTAACCAACTTCATATTTTCATTGACTAACTTTTTACTTTTCATTGACCAACTTTGACTTACTATTAAAAATACTTTTAACTCGGAGCGTCTATTAACCAACTTCATCACTTCATCTACCAATTTTTTGCATTTCATTAACCAATTTTATTTCACTACTTTAAACTACTATTCACAGATATGATTTACGTATACTGTTTATTGTTTATAAAATGTTCATGGGTACTGTTTGTGTACTGTTTATACATTATTTATAAAAATATTTTTTATTTAAAAAAACATGTTGGTGTATGTATTTTATGTATGATATGGTGTAGGAATAACAAACTTGTTTTTTAAATTATGTTGATGGTAATAATTTATTATATGTTGGTTGGTTTTATTGAAGAGATAACCGCGTAACGTAGACGTTGAGAACACAAGATTAATAAGGACGTGAGAATATCAAACAAGAGTCATCTCATGCCTTAACCGCTTTTATAATGTGAAGCCAAAATGAAAATGGAATATAGCTGGAGCACTTATTTTTAAATGCACACAGACAGCTCTGCAAATGCTTTTGTTTATTTTGGTACTTATAAAACACTTAAGAAACAATTCTTTTTAAAATTAAAAAAAAATGGTTTATATTAATGTAATAGCGCTTGTTTAAGATTTTTAGAAAATTATTTTGTTTTTAAGAAATCATTTAATTTTAAAATATATCATAATCTAAAATTTAAATTTACAATGGTGACGACGGAATAATATATAATGGCTCGATGATGAAGATTGGTTGAAATCTTCATCTTCAAATTATGTGTAAAGACAGAGTTGTTTTTGAGGGTGTGCAAGACGGCTCACGTCACAGGACTTCACACTTTTTTACAATTAAACTAGAGCTAAAAGGGCCTCTAAAAACATATTCAATTGTTATTTACGTTAAATAGAGCTCCATAAAAATATTTCACAACTACACTAAAGCTAACTTAAACTTTTTATACAGGAACTCTCACAATTTTCAGACACCTCAAGAAAGGTATCGACAAACACTCTTACACTAAGCTAATAAAAATTATAAATGTGAGGTTTAATGTTTAGAATAAATGTGTAGTTTGAGATATGGGGTTATGTTAGACTTATATAGTCTTGAAGATGTTGTATTGGTCTTAGATTTGCTAATACTCTCGCTTGAAACAATTATTTTCCAAATCTTTAGTTAAGGGAGTTAGACAATGGTTTGAATTTTGTGTTTTTTTTATAAATGTAGATGACTAATTGGGAGTCCTTTCATGGGACAAGTCTTTATTGACTTTGTTTTATTTGTTGGAATTAACTAAAGATTTTGAGAATTCCGAATCAATTTTGATGAATAAGATTCAATCAACCGATCGAAATTCCTTGTACTTTACTCTTCACTTGAGTGAATCAATCACACCTTGATTGCAAGAATGATTATGCGCAGTAATTATCAATGGAAGAAGAAAGAAAGAAAATTGAATAGGAAAGAAGATTACGGTTTAACAAAATAAGGAAAGAGGAGAATTATTTTTGTAGAGTAACTTTCTGCTCTCATATTATTTTCTATTCAGTTGTGCAACTGCACTTTTTGTTGTATGCTACAATATTATTCTCTATTCTTCTTACTCAAAATAGGGGTTACTCCATCTATTTATAACTGAGGTACCTTACTCCCTAAGGTAAAGCCTAAAATTACAAAAATCTAAAATTTCCATTTTGGTCTATATCGAAATCCTGTGTCAAGCAACCTGCTTTGATATTTCGACATCTAACACAACTTGACACACACACATTAGTCTAATTTAGACACATCCTTGTTTCTGTCGAGCTACACTTGTTTCGACACAAGAAATTACAATCTCAACTATGAAGTCCCCAAATGGATGCTACAATAGTTAGATTATCAACATAAAACCAATACGAAAGAAATCTACGCAGAAGAAACCTTGGAGGAGTTACATGTAGTCTTGCCCAAAAAATTCATTCATTCTAGTATAAGAATAAACTTCTTCACTTCACTACCTCACGAAACCTCGAATATCAACCTGTCAACTAGATCTAATTCTCTTCTGGTTGATTTTTTCATCAGATTTTAGAGTTCCACTCGAGTCCCCTTCAGACAAAGCTTCTTACGACTTGGTAAAAGAACTCAAAAGATCAGCATAAAGATCAACCACTCTTATGATATTGTTATTGAGCTCTCTAATCAAACTGACATTTCTGCCCGGATTATCAGGCATCCTAGACTCATGATTTTAGTTTATCTAATTGATTAAAAGCCGATTTTGATTCAAAATATCTTACGCTTGCAATAAACTCTTCTGAAATACCTATAAGAGTCGCTATCTACTTGACTTGTATCGCCTAGTTCTCCAACTATATCACCTTCCATTTTTCAACTACACTTTAGAGTTCAATCAACAAATAATCTTTGATAGAGTGAAGTATCTAAATAGATTATTTGTTTTATATCGGTGTTGATGGTGTAACGATCATGGTGGTTGATGCGTAATTGTTATTGCAGTGCATTTTGTTGTGTGGGATTCAGTTGAATGGTGGAGGTACAATATAAATTGATGTGTGAGGTGCACACTAAGACTGGTTTTTTTGCCGCGTTGGAAAAGGTTGAAGAGTACTGACCATGTGAAATTTAGTTTGTAAATGGGCTTTGTATGAAACTGTAATGTGGGCTTTAGTTTATGAATTTTTTTAACATGAAAATGCAATACAAAAAATGTCATGAGCTTTGTATTTGTGTAGAACTTCACAAACTTTGGATCTTTGAATTGTGTGGTCTTGATCACCATTTTCACTTTCTAGATTTCATTAGATCAATTACTCCTTTGATTTTTAATTGAACTTGAATTTTCCATATGAACAATGCACTTGAAATTGGTTTTAAACACCTCTGAATTCTCAAATAATCTTCGAAACCACTTTTGGCTACCTTCAATTCATCATTAAAATCAAACCATAAATATATTGAAACAATGAAATCAATTGAAACCAGTAGAACAAGACTTGATACGAACTGCTTAGTCCAAAATCCTAATTCAAAAATGAACTGATTTTAATCATGAAGCACTAATAACTCGACACTGCTTGACAACCACAACTGACTTGAATTGGCACAAATCCTAATTAAATCCTCAGCCACACATCAATTGAATCAATGCACCTGGACCTTGATGGAAAAAATGAAAGCTACATATATTTTGGATTTTCTGAATAAGAGTTAGTGGATGGAAATACAGATGAAGGTAATGTACAAGTAGGACAAATTTGAGGTATGACACTCTTAAACTGAGAAAAAATATTATTCAATCACACCTTGAGCGAATCAATCACACCTTGATTGCAAGAATGATTCTGCACATCAATTATCAATGGAGGAAGAAAGAAAGAAAATTAAATAGGAAATAAGATTAGGGTTTAACAAAATAAGGGGATCTGAGAATGATTTATGCAGAGTAAGTCTCTGCTCTCAAACTGTGAAAAAAATAGTATTCAACTGTGCAACTGCACTTTCTGTTGTGTGTTACAATATTATTCGCTATTCTTCTTACTCAAAATAAGGGTTACTCTCTCTATTTATAATTGAGCTACCTTGCTCCCTAAGGTAAAACCCAAAATTACAAAAGTCCAAATTTTCTATTTTGGTCTAAGTCGAAATCTTGTGTCAAGCAACTTACTTCGACACTTCGACATCTATCACAACTCAAAGCACACACTAAACTAATTTTTACACATCCTTATTTCTGTTGAACTACACTTGCTTCATCACAAGAAATTACAATCTCAACAATATTGTCGATGGGTATGAGGATATAGTTGACTTGTGAACATAAATGTTATTGCTTTAATGTCTTTTTACATTCGTGCCTACGTCCTGGAGGATGCAAAGCTTTTTGAGGTTGTGCTTTGATTTGTTTTTCTTTCTTTCGACACTTTTTTAATTGGTATGCGACACTTGTATGAAACTTACACAAAACATGTTGGACAATTCAGACAAATATTTAATTTTTGTTTTTGTTTTTTTCTCTGCTTTAACACTCTGTATATATCTTTTTAGACAAGTCTTACACATATTT